AAGTGGAGAGGAAATGTTTTGAGAATGATGAGGGCAATGAATGTACAAATGCGCTTTACACAACTGATGTGTGTATGGATTGTGATAACAGTTGTATGAGCCCCTAATAAAATGATTAAAAATATATATATATGGTTAAATACCGGTAGCTGTGAATTTGATTTCCCAAATCTTTGGGGAGAAAACTTTTAATTTCTAAGGAATACATACATGCTTTCTAGTGAAATAGGAAATGCCCTGCTTTATGAAGTCTTGGTGGACTTTTCAAAAGAATGTAATAGACGAGAACGATTAAGCAGGTTCTCATCAAGGCATGCAATGTCTTCCTTTTGTCATATGTAGATTAGGATTAAAAAGAAACAGCTTAGTTTCAGTTCTTGGCACAAGTCTGAGAAGCTCTTCACAGACACTGGGGAAACAATTGTTTGTAAGGCTTGTTAGCGCTGGAACCAGTATCCGAGTTAGTATTTGGGTTACAGTTGGGCCTCACTGCTGTCCAGGAGAGGAGTGTGTTAGACTCCACAGTTCCGTAGATGGAGTCAGCCGGGAGCCTGGCTGTCTGGCTTCTCTGTGGTCTGCATTGAGTATTCAGGAGGGTGCATCTGAAAGTATCACTACTAGGCTTCCAGTGCATACTGTATGGATTTATGCCAAGTAGAATATGTGTAAGCATGCCGTGCGATCAGCGAATGGCTGCAGACAAGACAAGTTCTTTTCAGTAATAAACATGTCCCATTAGGATGCACCTGATAGAAAAGGCCCAGTCCAAACATGCGATTACTGAAATTCAGTTCAAAAGGTTGTGGCACCTGTTGTGGCGGGACTCTGAAGGGGTCATCGTGGTAGATTTTCTCGAAGGACACAGAACCATCGCAGGAACTGCTTCTGGAAGCACCGAGGGAAACGCAGAACTCCAGCAGTGAGACAGACCCGGGCAGGGAGCTGTGCCAGCATGACAGTGCGCCTGCTCCGTATTCCAGGGGGCGGGGCTGCCCGTGCGAATTTCACTGGGAACCTTTCCCCAGTCATCCTCCAGCCCCGACGAGCATTTTCAGACGTTTGTTTCCCAAACTCAGTTTGTAGGGCATGTGATCTGAGTGCGAGGATGACAGCACTGCAATTTTGACACGTAAAACAAGGACCACCACCTCGAGTAGCTTCACATTCTGATATTTTTAGTACCGGGTTCTATGATTTGTAACACATCCCTGGCCAATCAAACCCAGTGCTGTCGAGTCCACTGTGGCTGACTCATGGTGACCTATAGGACAGAGAAAGGCTGCTCCTTGGGCTTCCAAGGCTGTGACTGCTTCCGGCAGCAGACAGCCTCATCTTTCTCACAAGGAACAGCTAGCTGGTGGTTCAAATGGCTGACCTTGTGGTTAGCAGCGCAACACTTGACCTGCGGTGCCTCCAGGGCTCTTACTACTGCCTAGGGCCTGTTGAAACCCCTCTACCAGGCTGGTAGGCTTGGTGAGGTCACAGGAGAGCAGACTGCCCGTTCCATGCATTTCAGACTTACACTCTCAACTGCAGAGATTTGTTCGTTCTGCCAGTTTTTGTTAGAAAATAACTGAAACGATGAGATAGTGTTGAAAGCAGGACTAGGAGGTAGAAAAGTATGAAAATATTTTTAAGAGCGCCCTTGAAGAAACTTGAACTTCCTCCATTATACTCACCAAAGGCTGACTCCAATCTAGTACCATGGTCACCTGGAATCCTAGTGCCATCTCTTCTATTAGGTAAGGTTACTAAGATATCCTGGGCTGTATTAAACTTCATTTAAAAACATAATTGTTTCAATGAAGACATACGTGGATAGGAACCAGATTTCAAATTTAGAATAAAGTTGCTTTTTCCTGTATGGTTTTCAGTAGTAACTGCCGTTTAGCTACAAGGGTACCACTGCAAAACCTGGTTTGGTAAAGCTTGATTTCACTAGGAGCCCTGGTGGTAGAGTGGATTAAATACTAGGCTGCTAACCAAAAGGTTGGCAGTTCAAGCCCAGTAGCTGCTCCCAGGGAGACAGAAGAGGCTGGCTGTTCCCACAAAGATTTATAGCCCCAGAAACTCAAAGGAGCATTCGGCTCTCAGGCTGTCTCCATGCACATTGTGAACACCTTCGTTATTTACTGCTATAATCATCACAAGGCACGAAGCCCTTAGTCTCCCCATTGCCTTAAGTGCTTGGGATGTTACTGATCAGATTTCACAAAATTCTCTTCGAAATGTTTACTTTGACCATAGGTAACTGACTCAGAACCAAATGTGTCCAGAATATAAAGGGTAAGGAAACCTGGTTTGGGGGGTGGAGGGTGGGGTGTCAGACTTCTACGGTGTGGCTAAGTTAGCTCCTCAGCATCTAATTCTGAGAGCTGAAACAAGTTCATTCTTGGAGAGGTGACTACTGCTTATTCTAGTCTATGGACATGGAACCCCAGGTAGTACAAACGAAGCGAATGTCTGCAGCTTTGAGTCCAGCCAGTGGCAGACCAGAAGCCAGGCTTGGCAATCTACTCCAACCCACCTACGCCAGCCACTGAAGTCCCTGTGGAACACAGTTCACCTCTGACAATCATAATCAAGAGTCCACTCCATGGCAACTGTAGGTTGCTGTTGTGTGTGCCCTTGCTTCCAACTCAGCCACCCTCCAGGACAGAGAATTGTCCCATAAGGTTTCCCAGAGCTGATGGCCAGGGCCACCTTTCCCAAGAGTCATTGGTGAGTTTCGGTGCAAGGAGACCTAGCAGCTGAGCGCTTACCCGCTGCACCATTCTGGTTCCTATGTTAATTGGTACTCGTACGGATGGGATGTGATACATTGTCAAGGCTAATTTTACTGATCACTGAAAAAGCACACAATGAAAGGGCACCTAAGTTACCATACTTTTGTTTTTAAAGAAATTTATGAAAACAGGGTAGCCTATGTAAAAAATTAGAGTAACAATCTGAAGCACTGCAGAGGGATGAACCTGGAGGGCATTATGTTGAAATTACTCAAGCGCAAATAACTATTGTCTGAGACCACTATTATCAAGCCAAGAAAAGGTTTTCACACAAATACTCTGATGGTGCCAAGGGGTGGGAAGGAAAGGGAGAAAGGAAGTCCAGTGTGAGGGCAGGCAGGTGCTAACTTGGGTGAAGGGGAAGGGCGGCTAGGGGAAAACTGATGATGGTCTATATGGAAGACCCTGGGAGGTTTGCAAGAGTTAAAGGCAACAGAGGCCAATATGGTTTTTAAAGTACTCCTGAAATAGTGATGATCCATGGGCAGACTTGGATAGACACAGGCAGAACAGTGGGAAAGGGAGAATGGGAGTATGCTCATAAATACTATTTGAGAAGGAGCTGTGTTGGGCTGCCAATCACATGCCGTCAGAAGTTCAAGACCACCAAGTGCACTGCGGGAGAAAGCTGTGACTTTATATTCCCATTAAAAAAAAAAAAAATCTAGTCTTGTAACCCCTCCAGGGGCAGTTCTCAGTTCATAGGGTGACGATGAGTCAGAACTGACTTGAGAGCAGTGAATGGGGGTGGGGGGTGTTGGAACTCTGGGGGTATAACTATATTGGGCTGCTAGCCACAAGGTCAACACTTCAGAACTACCCACCCCTCCAAGGGAGAAAGGCAAGGGTTCCTACTCCTTTAACAGCCTTGGGAACCCAGAGGTAGTTCTACCCTGCCTTTAAGGGTCAGTCAGAATTGACTTGATGGCAGTGAGTTGGCCAACTTACCTATGGATGTAGTGAAGCGCGAAGGGGGAAAGTCACTGATACTCTTAAGAGATCACCAAACACCTTGAAGAAAAGTCCCGGGACCTTGTAGTTTACAAAGGTAATGATCAACCAAACTTTGGTGAGTAGCCATCTGAGGTACTAGGACTGAGACGCATGGAAATACCGGTTCACTGGGCTAAGAATGACCATGCAAGCATTTCTACAACCCGAGACCAGCACTAGATGGTTCCCTGCACCCACCACCAACTGCTCTGAAAGAAGGTCCTAGAAGAATGGGGGGAAAATGTGGGGCCAAACTCAAAATCACTGGAGACTGGTAGGGAGCCGGACGTGGCCTTTGCCCTTTGGGTGTGGAACCAAATCCCCTCTGTTGGGTTCTCCACGATTGTTTCATCAAAAGAGCAGCATTTACCCAAGAGCCAAGTTGAGAGGGTTAGGAGACTAGGAAGAGAAGCAGGAGACACAGGGAGGTGATCGTACATCCAAGAGGATTGCAATGGATGAGTTGAATCAGAATGTGTATGAAATGTCGGTGTGACCCTGATGTGCTCTGTAAACGATTTCACCTAATTCAAGTCCAAAGAGCCCAAACCAGCTAACTCTCTTCTATCCATCAACTTGTGTGCATGTTTTCACTCATTCTAGATTCATGCCCTTTGTGGAATTCCTCGAGATTTAGTGACGGGCCAAGCCTGAGAGCATTCAAACCATGATTCTCCTAAGCTTTTGATGCAAAATCCTTCCGCCTCACCTTAAGCAAGCCGATCTTAAAAGCACACACAAAAACCTTCCTCTCCTTTTCTCCAAAGATACTAACAGTATTTTCAATGCCATACCATGGACTTTTGTTTCGGGGTTTAACAGTTACCAAACCAGATTATTAGACAATACTGTGAAAAGTCACAATGCCAGCAGGTGAAGAACAAAACCACCAGAGCCTATTGTCTTTATTATCAAACTTTATTGTTGGGGTGAGTTCCTATCTACTGGAGAGTAAAACTACTGTCTCAATATGTGCTATAGTAACTCTAGGGTCATAGCCATTCTGCAATATAGTTGTATTGGGGCTCTAGTAGGCACAGTGTATAATTCAGGAGAGACTGAGCCCAGAAAAACCCTGACAGTAGAGCCATTCATCACTCTAGAAAGTTCCAGTGCTACGCAACCTGCAAGGCATTATCTATCAGTTGATGAGACTCAAGAAGTTGGTGGTGGAATCAAGGAGTCAAGCCCACTTTCTACTCTTTTCAGCAAGGTAACTATGGCTCCGACATAGGAACCGGAAATCAGGTCTTGTAAAATCCTTTAAGCTCCCAAGCAAATGAAGTAAGACAAAGAGGAAAGGGCTAGGAACGAAGGCAGTTGAGGATTAGGGAAAGCTGGAGGGAAGAGAGGTTTGTGAAATGGAAAGTGGGTGGTTTTCTGAGGTGGAGATGACCAACAATATAATACAGGCAAAAGCAAATGGGAGTAAAATATTAAAGTAGGTTCAGATACTAGAAGTTGAATGAAATCTCTCCCTTTGTGAGGCAGGGGACGGCTGGTTTAAAAAAAGAAAACCAGAAAGGCGAATTACTAACAAGGAAATGAGTACCTGAGTAGAAACTGGTCTTTCAAGATGCTGAGAACAGTTTGATGGTACAGAGGTGATCTGCATCTACAGGAAGTGGTTAGGGTAAGCTGCTGCTATGCAGATTTGCTACTGGAGTAACATTTCTAGCATTGGCTTTATCTATGGGGCATACTTTAGTAGCAGATAGTTTTGAGGGAATGTTTTTCTAACATTCCACTTATATGGGAATGCAAATGACTATTTAGTGTAAAAATTCAACATCCAATAGAGTAGAAGATACCAAGTCCTGAAATAGCTGTGGCCCAAAGCCCAAGCCCTCCCAACACCTTTGTGATGAAAATAGTAAAGAAATTAACAAGTATCAGATGAGTCCTATGGCCTCGCACCAAAGTAGACAGCAGATCATTTATGGTGACTTCTGCAGGCAGCCTGAGAACAGAGGAGCTGTGTATTAAATGCTGTCCTATCATTAAATATAAGGAGGGAAAAAAAGAGGAGGAGGGCATCAAACAAGACCCTAATAAAGTCTAGCTGCCGACCAGATTGGGAAGATAAATAAACAGCATGGTTTATTTTAACCTCCATCTTCCACACTAACCTAGTTTCTCTATAGAAAAAACACCTGCTGGCACCAGGCCAGTATGTCTTAATTTTGTTATGTTAGCATCTCCCAAAGAGAGATGTTAGTTTTTCCCAAAAAGGAGACGTGTTAATAGCAGGTGGACACACGCGAACCAACACAAGGTTTCTACAGAGCCTTCTCTGCAGTCTTAGTGTGAGAGCAAAGTCTACCTTTGGAAGCATTTTCAAAAGCAGGATACAACACTTGACGGGGGCTTTGTGCACACAGGACACCAGCAGAGCTGTGCCTGCTGATGAGTCTCTTGTTGATACTGAGCAGTCTCTTGGCAGGATCGTGCCTCCTATTTACAGGGTCCTTGGGATGGGTGGGCACGCAGGGACTCCTTCAAACCGAGTGAGGCAGACGCCGTTTCCTCTCTGGTGATCAGGATCCTAGATGCGTGTGACCTCGAGTGTGTGGGATTGGGCTGTGTCCCCAGGAGAGGAAGCACAGGCTGCTGTCCAAGCTCAAGCTGTTGGGGCACCACAGCCTTTTCCTGCTTTGCCCACTGCCAAGAATCTTCTAGAGGATTTTCTTCCCCAATATGGTAGCTGCCATCAACGTTGCTTTTGCTGGAAAAGAGACAAACCAAAGTATGAAATAATCTTTGGCTTGTGGATATATGTTTCAGCACGGGCAATAACCCCACCACGAAACAACCAGTCAGATTGCCAAAGGGAGCAGCAGCAGCAGCTTTGCTGTCATCTGTTGCCCGAGGCAACAAAGGGCAGAGAACGGCAAAAGCACCTGGTTGCTTTTAGATGTGAACCCTGTCATCGACTGTGTTTTGCATCAACAACTTGCCTTTCTCTGCTGACAGCTGGGCAGAAATGCCTAAGGATGCTCTTGTACAAGGAGAGGAAAAGGCACAAGGTAAAATGAGGGAAGGACAGAAGTTCATTCCAATTCAGAGGCTGGCAGGCAATGCAGGCAGTCAACCAGCCTGCGGAGAGGAGAGGTTAAATTCAAGGGGCAAAGTATACAATGGGCAAAAAACCCAAGGGACACAAGAAAAGAAGGTGGTTTGGGTGATTCTGCAAGACTCCCCTGGTTGTGCTGTAATTAAACTCACGGGTGTGCTTATAAAGGTTGAAATGGAATGAACAAAGGCCAAGATGAACTTTTCCTTTATATAAAAGTGCTGTACCCAATTATCAACATGGTTCGGTTCCAAAGACCAGGCCATTATGTGAAAATCAGTAGTCTGCGGAAAAAGGATGACATCTGATCACAAAATTGATGACTGCACCACTATCAATGCCAAACCACTGAACCATAGCCCAGCTCATTGGACACAACCTCAACTATCACGTTTAGGTTGTCTTGCACAAAGTAGTCTGATATATATATGGCTAGCGAGAGTTTTTAAGACATGGGTGCAGTTGACAATTAGAGACCTAACTAAACCAAAATGCACGGCCATCAAGCTGGTACTGGCTCCACAGGCCAGGAGAACACTGCTGCACAGTGTTTCTGAGTGCACATTGTTCCGAGAGCAGACAACCCCATCTTTCTCCCACAGAACAACTGGTGGGCTTCAACCACCTAGCTCTTGGTTAGTTGCCCAGTGTTGAGCCACTGTGACCTTAGGGCTCCTTAGAGAAATGAATAGGGTAAAATGAGTCCGCTTTCTCTCCTCGTATAAACCCTGTTGGTGGTGGGGTTCAATGTTTGGCTACTAACCAAAAGGTTGGCAGTTCAAATCCTCTAGCTGTTCCGCTGGAGAAAGACTGACTGCTCCTGCAAAGATTTAGTCTTGAAAACTCTGCATGGGGAGGGAGATCATTTAACTTGTCATTAGCTCCTCATACCTGGCCCTGCCCGAGCCTTCTTTTAAAGTTGCTTCTCTGAAATGCCCTGGCCTATTGCCTGTGTCCCTAAACTCCACTCATTCACCTACTCCTAGAAACACCGTTTTATTCTTTTTGGTGCAAAGACTCAATTTTAAAACTTGTGTTTCAGACATCTGCTGAGTGCCAAGAAATTATGCAACTGTCCACTCTACCTTTAGAGATTACTGTGAGAAAATGGTAGTTAACAAAGTGTGGTGAAGACACTAGATCAGGGGTCCTCAAATTTTTTAAACAGGGGGCTAGTTCACTGTCCCTCAGACCGTTGGAGGGCCGGACTATAGTAAAAAAAACAAAAAACAAAAACTATGAACAAATTCCTATGCACACTGCACATATCTTATTTTGAAGTAAAAAAGCAAAATGGGCAAAAACACCCTGCGGGCTAGATAAATGTCCTCAGCGGGCGTAGTTTAGGACGCCTGCACTAGATGGTGCCCAGCTATCAGAAAGAACAGTGTCTGGAGTCTTAAAGGCTTGTCTTCAAACAGCAGCCATCCATGTGAGGTGTCAACTACGTCTAACAACAGCCTGTGTGATCTAAGGATTATAAATATAATCCAAATTCAGAGGGCACAGTATCAGCTTAATTTTTGAACACCCAGTTTGGTTTGCAGCAGACTATAGGTCGGTGGTTCTCAAGCTGTGGGTTGCAACCCCTTTGGGGGTCGAACCACCCTTTCACAGGGGTTGCCCGATTCGTAACAGTAGCAAAATGACAAGTGATGAAGTAGCAACGAAAATAATTTTATGGTTGGGGGGTCACCACAACAAGAGGAACTAGATTAAAGGGTCACGGCATTAGAAAGGTTGAAAACCACTGCTATAGGTGAATGTGGAAGCCCAAAATCCACTTACAAGATCCCCACACAGATGTAGCCTCCATTGAATCCCCTCTGACTGTAGTCTAAAAACGGGAATAACAGACAGAACATTGTAAAGTTGATATGGCAGATGTAGTTAAAAATATAACACCTTATCATTTGATCTCCCTTTTGATCCAGTTTAAAATTGTTTCAGCTTTTAATACTTTCTGCTTTCTTTCCGATTGAGCTTTTCTGTTTTGTTTTCTGGGTGTTTGTTTCTTCACTTATTTGTTTTGATATTGCATAATTTTCTGAATATTAAATCCAGGACAGGCACATCTAGAGACAGTAACGGGGCTAGTAATTACCTAGGCGCATGGCAGGGGAGGGGGCGCGGGAAGCAAACGTTCTGGTAATGATCTCGGAACACTTCTGAATACGACTGAACTACTGAATTGTATGATATGTGAACCACATGACAATAAAACTATATTAAAAAACTACTGCTTCAAATAACTTGAATTCTCCAGAGAAAGGCAGGCAGAAGCAGGCTTTGCTCCCTCAGCCCAGAGGCCAGCTTACTATTCTCTCTGTACAGGCCCACCAGGCTGCACGCTGACTGGCCCTAAGCATTAAGTGTGAAAATTATTTCAGACAAAACTTTCTGTCAACTGAACAATGTCAATGAGCCTTCAGGCCCAAATCTTTTACAACGTTCAAGCCCTCAAATGAAAAGTTCTAGTCACTTGATTGACTACGAATTCTCCTGGGGTTCAGGTCCTGTAGAGCAAGCCCCACGCGAGTCCAGGTCATGGGAGTGTCTCATGTTGATGGTCTGCTCTCTACAAGAATACACTGCTGGCTACGGGAAACCTCAAAAATGGGGATAAACCAATTAAAAAATTGTATGTGGCACTCAACACATGCATCAATGAAGCGCGCGCACGCGCGCACACACACACACACCCACACCACAATTCTGACTCCTGGTCGGCCCCGCGTGCCAGAGTGGAACTACTTCGGCGGCTTTCCTGACCATGCTCTGTGGAAGCTGGCCGCCAGGCCTTTCTTCTCTACCGAATGCCACCAGGTGGGTTCAAATCACCAACCTATGGTTAGTAGCCAAGCACAAACCGCTGGCACCCGCCCCACGGCATCACTGTCAGCTAAGACAGGAAGTATACTGATAGGGCTTTCTCCTCCTGTAAAGAGAGTTACAGTCTCAGAAACCCACAGGGTCAGCTCTCCCCTGTCCTGCAGGGTCACTGTGAGCCGCATTCGGGGTTTGCCTCACCTCAACGCTCCGGTCAGTTGCTCTCGGCCATGCTCTCCACATCACACTCCCTGGGTGGCTCCATGCCTCCCGGCAGCTCACTCTCGATCTCCCACAGGACGTCATCCTCATCTTCCAGGTTGCTGGAGATGTGGCACCTCTTGAACCCTTGCACGATGGACTCACTGGGGATGCTATTCCAGGCCACCATGACCCATTCCAGGAAGAGGCCTAGGGGTGGCTTCTTGGCGTTCCCGGTTGGGCTCAGCGCCAGGTTCCCAGCCAGCAGCCAGTTGGAGTACTGGGCCCGCACGCTGTCGTTGAGCGGTTTGTAGACCACCACGTCGAGCACCTGCAGCTGCGAGGTCAGGCCCCCCGGGATGATGACCATGTCTGTGTTCATGCTCTCCATGGAGCTCTTCACAGAGTCGGTGGCGTGGCCCCGGAAGCCATTCAGGATCAGCATGCCTCGCTGCTTGGGCACTGCGCCAGTCCTCCGCCTCCACACTACCTCCAGCCAGTCCTGCATCAGCTCCTCGGTCATCCACCCGTACCGGTGGCAGCGGATTTCCATCCCGCTGGGGAATTTCCCAGGGGGGATGTACGTGCCCCTCAGAATGATGTATGGTGGGAGCTTCCTCCCGTCGGCCAAGACACCGAGCATGGCTGTGATTTTCAGTTTTTCCCTGCCCGGGGTCTTGACCAACACGGGCTTCCCGCCCTGGTTATCCACAGTCACCCGAGACGGCACCTCTAAGCAAATGGGAGTCTCATCTGCATTCCCCATCTGAGCAACCGAGTACTTATGGGTCCGCCGCAGCGCCAGCACGCTCCGCTGGTAGGTGATCAGCTTCTCGGTCAGGTCCTCTGGCAGGTGCTGCGGCATGGGCACTTTATGCCGCAGCGACAGGTCATACCTCCGCATCATCCTCCGACACCAGCCCAAGCTTGCCTTGAACCCTTTCTCGGGAATGTTCATCTCCTGGGCAATTTCGAGAGCTTTCAGCTGCATTGCCTCCCTGGTGATAGGGTCCCCCTTGGCCTGCATGTACCGGACGTACTCGGCCACACGCTGGTCCACCAGAGCAAACCTCCCATTCTTGGGGCCCCGGAAGGCCCGCCGCATTGCGTGGGCATTCTGTAGCTGTGGCTTGACTTTGCGCCAATCTCGGACGTTCTTCTCCAGCACCCCGAACTGCTTGGCAGCCTGGCAGTTGTTGGTGCTCTCAGCATACTCCACCACCATCAACTTGAACCCGGCGTCGTAACTGCGGCGCATGCCCCGGCTGAACTGAAACTTCCCGGCAAGGTCGTCGGCTGAGAGGTCGTACCCAGGGAAGCCCATGGCCATGTAGAAGGGGTAGCCCTCGCTCCACTCAGGCAGCTCGGCAAGGTCCCCAGGCAGACGCAGATGTGAGGGCGAGGTGCGGGGAAACTGGGAGGTAGCACTAGCGGAGCCCACCCAGTCTGGAGACTTCATGTCGGAGTCTTCGTTCTCTGGGAGACAAGCAGGAGGGAAAGAAGAATGCCCATAAGTAAAAAACAGGGTAAAACATGATTCCTGGCACCATGATTCCCACTAAACTCACTACAATCAGTGGATTTCAGCTCATAGCGATCCTATAGACCAGTCGACTGCCCTGTGGGTTTCCTAGACTGTAACTCTATGAGAGTAGAAAGCTCCATCTTTCTCCCGTGGAGCCGCTGGTGGTTTCTGACCTAGCAGGGAAGCAGCCTAACGATGACCTCACCATTCCACCAGATCTTAATTTGAAGTTCGTCAAAATAACCTCATAAAATGTTGTAAGTGCCATCGAGCTGGTTTTCAACTCCGTGACTCTCCATGAAAGCAGAACTGCCCCAGAGGGTTTTCCGTGCTGTGCTGCTCTGTACAGGAAGGAGCCCTGGTGGCTCAGTGGACTATGCATTGGGTCCACAGTTCAAATACACCAGTCACTCCCGAGAGAGAAAGACGAGACAGTGTGCTTCCGGGAAGACTTATTAAAATCTGGGAAACCCAAAGCAGCAGCTCTACTGTCTTTTAGGGTCATCATGAGCCAGAATCGACGTGATGGGAGTGAATTTGGTGTCTGTACATGAGCAGGTCCCCAGGTCTTGCTCCCATAGAACAGCTGGGTGGGCTCAAACCGCCAATCTTTCCATTTGCATGCAGGTGAGCATGTAACTGTTGCACCAACAGGTTTCTTTGAATAACAAGGTGCTTCTGCTTATGTCCTTACCTACATGCACTACGGTATTTAATGTTTACAAATCATCACGGTGTTTTTCACGAGTGAAGAAAATGAAGCTGCAGGGGCTAGTAATGCAACAGATAACCAAGCTGGAAAGTGGTAGTGCTGGGACCTAAAGCACAAGGCTTGCACCAAATAGTCATTTGGGGACTCTTAGGTAAAAAAAAACTTAAATGCACAAGAAGCCAAATATAGCCCACAATTCCACAAAATCCTAAGAGGTTTAGCGGGACCAGGTGGAGTGGTAGTTGGGCTGCGATCTGCAAGGCGAGCACTTTGAGACCACCAGGCGCTCCATGGAGGAGTCAGGCGTTCTCCACTTCGAGCCCGTCTTGGACCCTCACAGGGCACATCTGCCCTGCCTGCAGGGCTGCTACGAGTCTGCAACAACTCGATGGCACCGGGTTTGGATGTGGTTTGAGGAGCTGAATCATGACCCTTCCTGTAGCGGAAACAAGCCATCAGAAAACACCCCGGCTCTATAAAATTAAGCTTGTAGGCAGAAACGTGGCCTTGCATGCCAGTGTTAGAATAGCTCTATCAGACGGAGCAGGACCCAAACAATTTAACCAAAACTAAGATACCATCAATTGATAGGAAGTTCCTAAATGTGCAATAAAAAAAGGGGTGGGGGGAGCCACTACCTTAAGCTAGGCATGTCATCAAATATTAAGAGGCATTCAAGCACATTCAGAGATATTACATAGGCCTCGGGGGAGAGGGGACTTAGAGTTGATGGAACTCTGCTACCAGGCGGTTAGGATGCCCTCTGTGTCCCACTGCTGTTCTCCTAAGCACATTCCCAACACAGGGCAGCGTGGGGCTCATGGACTGGGCTGAGCATGTCCCACCACTGCTCCTGCATCTCCATGCAGGGTGAAGGGCGCCAGGGCAAAGAGGTGCGAAGGGGCTTCTTCGTGCCACTACTCCCTGGGGTGTGCGAGCACCAAGATGCCCTGTTGGCAAACGTGTGCTAGGCCCGATGCCAGCCAGGCTTCACTTCACTTCACACCAAGCCTACAGGTGAGGACTCCCTAAGGTCACAGGGCATTAGAAAATGGGAAACGTTGAAAGCCCATACTCTTTCTGCCTCCCCTTTGGAACCCGCCACACCCAAACCCGAACTCACTGCCAGTGACCCCATAGGATGGGGCAGCATGGTCCCTGTGGGTGTGGGAGGCTGAATGTCTTTAGGGGAGCAGCTTGGGGGGGTCCAACTGCTGAATGACTCCCGTGAGCAGCCCGACCCATGACCCCACTTCACAAGGCTCGCACTTGGATGGACGCGGGACTGACTTGAGACCATTACCTGCGAAGGCTCCTCTCTGGAGCGGCCACTCTTTGCGTTTCTGAGACTCCTCCTCCCCTTCCAGTCGTGTGATCATGTCTGGCTTAGGGAATGGGAATTCTGCTCACAGGAAATAAAACAGCACTGATTACTCTCCTGGAGCCAAGCTGCCAACCCAGTCTACGTTACGGAAGGATCGTCCTGACCACCGCCACCGTCTTGGTCTTCTCAACACAGAGACTTGTGAGAGGAAGGGAGAGATGGGCAAGGGACGGCCAGGAAGAGGCCTGGCACAAATCACTGCGGGTGCAGCCAGTTCCAGCAAACACGTGGGAACCTGTGCGAGCCAACTGGTAACACGCTTCCCAGTGCATACATCCTTAGATGCCTGACAGGCCCCTGGGGAGGGGCGCAAGGGTTCTTTGAGGGGATGCCCCCAGCTTCTGCGGCCAATCTGACAGCAACCAAGCTGCCTCCACCCTTAGGACACTCGAAGCACAGACCCAGCCTGTGGTGTCGTCGTTGCTCAGGTTAGTTTTCTCAGCATCTTTAGTTTTATGAATGCCTGGATGCAGTGATGGGAGTTTGAGGGTGGGACACGTTGCTGACACGGAAGGAAGCTGCAGTTACAGCCTGCCTGCCCAAATGAACAACAGGCACTCCAATAGAAATGGGCACGAAGTGGACAGAGTCCAAGGGAAGGAGAGAGGGCAGTTTGGCTAGACCAGGGAACACAGACAGAGAAACACTTCCCTGGGCTCGGCGGGCGCACCCAGGAAACAAAGGAAAACAAAGGTTTACCCAAGGACAGGACAGTTTCGTAATTCATCCTCATGACTTCCCGGTAGAGGGCCTTTTGTTGCTCCGTCAAAACTTCCCATTCCTCATCGGAAAAATAGATGGCCACCTCATCGAACAGGGCTGGGACCTGGAACAGCGAACAGGCCATTCTCAGCAGCAGGCACATGCAGACACTGATGCGCAGCATGGGCAGGACAGGACCCGAAACCACCTGACCCAGCCCTGCAGCTTACAGGTCACCTCGCACTGATGTGGCAGCCAGTGGAAAAGGGGACCAGGACACAAGTCTCCCTCCAACACAGCAGGCTGCACCCCTCAGTTCCTGGATAAGGAATGCAGCAGCCAGAGAAGAAAACCCTCCCTGACAGACCCAGCAGGGCGCTGGCACCTTCCTCTCCTGTACTCCCAAGTCTAGAGAAGGTAACCACACACCCATCCCAACCCACTCACCGCAGCCCTGCACTCTCCCTTACCAGACCCCCAAGACGTCCAGATCCCGGTGGGTGTGGGAGGGGCCTGGTTTCCGTGGTAAAGAGGGCACCAATACTTGACATGAAGTTGGCTTCCTAGGATACGCTCAGGGGGCTTAGTGGGGTAGTGGCTTATGCGCTGGACTGTTCACCCCAAGACCAGTAGTTTGATCTCTGCTGGTGAACAGACTGTCCACACCCATAAAACATACAGCCTCAGAAATCCCGAAGCAGGTCTACTCTGTCCCACAGGGTCACTGTGAGACACACGCCACTCAATGGCAGTGAGTTAACAGTTGAGGGCAGGGGCACCTGGCTGGCTGATATGTCTGAGAAGCTTTTATTTCTGTCAGGCAGGTGTCACTCATGGTGCGGGATTCAAGTCAAAGAATGGTCATGGAACCCGAAGGCACCCGGGGAAGAAAGTGAGGGATGGGGCTCTCCTTGGCCCTGCCGGGCTAGAGCACAGGCAGTAGAGAAGGCTGATTAGATTAGACCTTCCGTTCATGTAACTCGAGGCTACAGCAAGAGCTTATGTCCCTGCTTAGACCGGGTTGGCAGAAAGCCCACGGACACCCCTTTTCCCACAGAGAACACTCTACTTCAGCAGTTCTCAATCTGTGGGTCGCGACCACTTTGGAGGTCGAACAATCCTTTCACTGGGGTTGCCTAAGACCATCGGAAAATACATTATTTCCGGTGGTCTTAGGAACTGAGAAACCACTGCTCTGTCTCCAGGCGACTGCCCACATGCAGATCTGCCCACCTACAGGTACCCAGTGTAACAACTGTTACCCATGCTATGCCATGCGTCAAGACAAAATTTCATTTATTTGTAATTAGAAATATTTCACAATATATTTTTTGTGATGAATCACTATGCTTTAATGATGTTCAATTTGTTAACAATGAAAATACATCCTGCATATCAGATATTTATATTACGATTAACAGTAGCAAAACTAGTTATCAAGTAGCAACGAAAATAATTTTATGGTTCCACAACATGAAGAAATGTATTAAAGGGTCGTGTCACTAGGAAGGTTGAGAACCACTGCTCTATTCCCTTTCCCTGCTAAAGCAGGCGGTCACCCAAACTAGCCTCTGCTTGTTTAGTAAACAGTTGTTTTCCTTTAAACTTTACCTTCTTTCGGTCATGGAAACTCCTGCTACAAAGCCCAACATTCTGGCTCTTGTGCCCTCTAGGGCACAAGAGAACGGCCCCTTGGTTTCTAGCCTCCTCTCTCTGGTGCCAAGCAGCTGGTGGGCTTGAACTGCTAACCTTGTGGTTAACAGGCTGACGTGTACACCATTCTGCCACCAGGGTTCCTAGTAGTTAGGAAATCATGTTTCTGTTTGGCTCCTTTGTCTTTTCACTTTCAGACGTTTTCCCAGAGCTGGACGCCAGGTGATGGTAAGCATGCGCATGCTCAGAAAGTCACTCAGGGTCTGTACTACCCGCCGACTCTTCATGTCAGCCACCCATCTGTACACAAACTTGTCTTTCCTCCCTCCCTCCCCAGCATCTGACATTTAAACACAAACCAGATGCCACCGAGTTGATTTTGGCACAGAGCTACCCCCATGTGCCAGGATGCAACCATGCTCCCAAGGGTTTTCAGTGGCTGGCATTTTTTTTGGGGGGGGACGTAATCTGGAAGCCCTTTTCATGGCACTTCTGAGTGGACTCAACCTCTGACCTTTGATTTAGGGAATACTTATTACAGCTAGTGCTATACCGCCTTCATTTGTTCCCGTCGCTTGTGTGGAGGAAAACGAGTCTTGTCTAATCAGGGAGTAAACGGGCCCAGTGATGCTGCATTTCCCACTGGGAGCCAAATGGCTATCTAACAGCAGGGCTGAGATTTGGATGTGCCACAGCCTTCCCAGCCCTAAGGTTCCTGTTCTTACACAGAACCCAGTGGCGTCCCTGGACAAACTACTGACACTCCCAGGTCTCCACACACCTCCTCTCATGGCCTCAGGTTTCGTGCGCAGTCTGGGCCAGGCCAACAGCCACTCACCTCCTAAGGGTCCTGCTTCCCAGAAGGCCCAGCTCAACCTGTGCGGGGTGACCACCTTCAAATCCCACAATGCCCTAGGCTCAACAATGGAGTGGCACTTAGCATATATTCTCCTTTTTGCTCACTTGTTTGTTTCCTCCATCAGAATGGAAGCTCATGGAGGGTAAAACCTGAGCTCTGTTTCCCTAAATTAACTTCTCTACCTCTTGGAGATAGTGTAAACCAAGCCCCCACCCACCCCCACCCCACCCACCCACACAAACAAAACCCCAACCCAGTACTAGGGAGTTAATTCTGACTCACAGAAATGACAGTATAAAGCAGCCTCATTGTTCTTCAGAGAAGGAGTAGCTGTTTGTGGGTTTGAACCATCGGCCCAGTGGGTAGCAGCCAAACTCTTTACCTGCTGCACTACAGGGCTGCAACTGTAGATAGTAGTTGTGGGAAAAAACGAGGGTGAGCTAAAAAGGACTGCTACAAAAACGGTAAAACTTTTATTACACACAAGCAGCACAATGTGAAGACACTGTTTCTGGACATGTCTGCCATCTAGGGGCACACACTTCAGGAGACAGCAATCTCTCTAACCGTCCCCAACAAATTCCGTGCTGTTCCACTGAACACTATGTAAAAAGGGCAGTTTTGTACACACAAGGGACTCAAACCACATTCCTTCTGAGTGTGGGAACTAGAACTAGGAAGAGAGTGTATTCAGACAAATGCTCAACGCTCATATTTAAGAGTCTGGGAGGCAGACTCTGGTGAAGAGGGCCTTGGTATTGATGGGTTGGAGATGCATCCCAGTCACATTCTCATAACCAAAGCTTTCCCCCCAAATTTCCCCCGTCATCACGACAATTTTAAGGTACTGCTTCCAAGCACAAGGGTGCTACTTTATATGCTTGAAAGTTATCTGCCATCAAGAGCAATCGGACCCTATTATCTGTCCTACTCCTAGTAGGGCCCACTCCTTTCTGCTAAGGATCATAGATTGTTCCTCTGGAGAACAGCTCAGGGACACTTAAGGTCACGCCAGCTCAGAGCCAACTAAGGTTAAGCTGCCACCTTAACTCTAAACCCACCCATCTTGTTACATAAGTACCTTCCTGTTGCGTGTATGGTATCCCAGCATGCTCCCTGTTACACGTATGCCATTAATGCAGTGATTCTCAACCTTCCTAATGTTGTGACCCTTTAATATAGTTTCTAATGTTATGCTGACCCCCCCCCACCATAAAATTATTTTTGTTGCTACCTCATAACTATCGTTTTGCTACTGTTATTAGTTGGGCGACCCCTGTGAAAGGGTCACGACCCACAGGTTGAGAACCGCTGCTCTCATACAACCCCTTCCTGTTATGTACGTGTATGAGCTGGCTTGCTAGCTCCTGCCATGAGAAGAGGTGCGCCTTTGCACGTCTTGTCTGATGTCTCTTTAAATTACCCTTCAAGTACACAACCGTGACCCATTCAGTTGTGGAGAACAGTCCCCCACAAGTGTTCGTTGAGTTTGGGGAACAAAAAGAAGCCTGAAGGTAAGATCAGGGCTGGAGGGCAGATGGCACGAGGTTCCCAGTGCAATTTGGAGGACAGCCCTTACTAACCTGCAAGAATAAGCGGGTACATTACACATTATGCTTTGCCGAGATCAGAAAGAAGGAAATACCCACTACCACTCTACAAACACCACTGCAGCTTTCTTAATCTTCTCATCAACCCCCCAGTGATTGTTCTGCATCCCATGTGGCAATCTATCAAAATTACCTCTTTGGAATACCAAAAGAAAATAAAACCAGTTGCTGTAGCCTTCTGAGCCTTAAATTGAACTGGCTCCAAAGCCATTATTTTAACTGGATTTTTTTTTTTTTTTTGAAGGCAGCCCAAGGAGGCTCAATGAAACCAAACTCACTGCTATCAAATTGATACCAACTCAGTGACCCTATAGGACCAGGTAGAACTGTCCGTGAGTTCTGGAGACTAACTCTTTACAGACGTAGAAAGCCCTTTCTCCCAGAGTGGCTGATGGTTTTGAACTGCTGATCCTGTGGATCGCATCCCCAAGAGTAACCACGTCACCACTATGAGACTACCCACGCTCCTAATGAAACTAAACCATGTGTACTACTGAGAGAACCTGTCTGTGGCCACCCATGGTTTGCAAGGGCACGTTTAAAGACATTTTGTTGGAAATAAACCCACATACATGTGAACGAGAACCCCGGTAGCGATACGTTTTGAATCTAAGGCAATATTGTCTGGATTTCCCTGATCTTGTTTCACACGGAACAGGTTCACGTAACATTACATTTTCTCTGTCACAAAACTGAGCTTACTCTTTGGAGCAAGAAGAGATACAAATCCTTAAGTTGTAAAACACCAGGGCCGGTCTCTAGGTTTTCCTCAGACTGTCACCGACTGGGGAGGCTCGTCAGCCCAGGAATTTTCCATCGCACCTGCACTCGCTCCACAGGCTTTTCAACAACTCTCTTTTTGCCCTTTTCTCTCCCCAGGAAGTTCCAGATCAGGGCCATATCTATTTGTAGTCCCTCTACCTTTGCTGAATAAAATTGACGCAGGCCTGGCTATGCCCCACCCTTCAGAGGGGCTGTCAATACTGAGGCTAGACAGGGAACCAAACCGAGCAGTCATGTCAGCTTTGAACCACAGCAGCCCCCCCAATGGAGTATGGCCGCCTCAGGGACTTTCCAAGCTATAGATAATCTTTACAGCCAACTGCCTCACCTTCGTCCCATAGAACAACTGGTGGGCTCGAACCACACAACTTGCAGTTAGCAGCTGAGCACTTTAACCACTGCACCACCTTCACACCCCCTAGGCTAGTAGAACTAGCAAGAGGCACAAGGCTGGGAGCCAGTGTGGGATTCACTGTCTTCCATTTATGACAGAGCTCCGGAGGCTCTTCAAACAAGTCCGCATTATGCTCTAGAGGCATGCAGCACAGTGGCTCAGCCATTCTCCTCACAGCAGCCCTCTGTGTGAAATCAAGCCAGCCTTCAGCCAGGTCCTGCTATGCAGGCCTTCCCTGGCTCCACAGAGGCCTTTTATCTGACTGAGCGCTGCAGAAGGTAAACAGGGCAGCTCAGGGCAAAATGGAGAAGCCAGCCAGCCAGCTGGGGTCCAACTCCCAGCACCCCTTTCTTGGCCTTGCAGGTGGGTGCTCCCAATTCTTGCTCCCCTCCCCTCAGAAGATCAAAGACCCATCAGAGACGACGTGTTATTCCCTTAGTGTGCAAGCACTGCTTGGCTCTGCTCAGGAAGTGCGCATTCCAGCACTGTCATAAGTGCTTTCACATTCCTTGGTCTCACTGAAGCCTCCCAACCACGCAGTGGGAAGCAGGGAGCTCAGGGCTAGAGAGGCTACGCTGGTAGGATCCCTGCTTGGTGCCAAGCACTGTGCCAGGAAGTATTACCTCGCTGCCTTTTAAAAATAAATCAGGTTTGGGGGGGTGGGGCGCGAATAACAGAAATGCAGGTGAAGGGAGACAATGGACAGTGCAAAATATGAAATAATATATGAATGATCAAGGATTCACGAGGGTGGGGAAGGGAGGGGGGGAAAGAGGAGCTGATACCAAGGGTTCAAGTAGAAAGAAAATTGTTTTAGAAATGTTGAGGGCAACATATGTACAAGTGTGCTTAATACAACTGAATGATGGATTGTCATAAGATTTGTAAGAGACCCCAATAAAATGATTAATGATTAATAATAAAAAGAAAGAAACCAGGGGTATAGGTATTACTACCACCCTCCAGCCGCTCCAAGAGAGAAAGGTGAGGCTTACCTGCCCCTGTAAAAGATTTTCAGCTTTGGACACCCTATATAGGGTTGCTATCAGTTAGAATCAACTTGATGGTGGTGAATTTTGTTGTTTTGACCTCACTTTTATGGGTAGTCAGAGAGCTATAAAGTCTGACTCCAAAGCCTGAGATTCCTCCCAGGCAATTTAAAGTGTCAGCATGGTGGTTGTGAGTACTTAAAAAAAAAAAAAGTAAGTTGCCTTCTTGTCCACTGTGACTCAGGCAATCCTGTGTGTTAGCAGCTGCACAGGATTTCCACGGGCTAATCTCCCCAAAATCACCAGGCCTTTCTTCTGAGGTGCCACTGGGTAGACTCGACCTCCAACTCTCAGTAAGAGCTGGAGCATGTTAACCATTTGCACTATCCCAGGACTCCGTTGCGAGAACCTTTGGCTTCCCTTGGAAAGATGAACTGAGATGCGATTCCTCAGAGCTATTCAGGAAAGAGCCCCGACTCCTCAGTGCAGACCACCCTGGACAGATGGCCCTCCCGGCCTCCATACTTCGCCTCCTTCTCCGTTTCTCTTCCCCGTGGATGCTCAGTTCCAGCTTGGTGAACCAATAATTCTGAGATCCGGTTTCCCTTCACAGTACTTTTTGCTTGAGCAACCCCTCCCCTTGGTTGATTCCTCTCATGACTAAAACCAAAAACCACGAATCTGCCCTCTACTCCAACTCCCGCAACCCTCTAGGGAGGAGGAGAACGCTCCCATCTTCATGGTAGTAGCCAGCCTGGTCTTTTCTCCTTCAGAGCAGCTGGCCAGTTCAAACTGCTGATCAGCATGCCACCCACTCCGCCACCAGGGCTCCTGCTTCCTTTCCCTCACCTCTACTTGACATTTTATTTCTATTCCAATTCTGAGAAATTTCATCCTAAAACATAGTATGATGGTTATGCTGAATTATGAGTGCATCTAGAAATAATTTCACCTGCCCTAGATTCACACTCTAGAGCAGGGTTTCTCAGCCTCAGCACCAGCACTAGCACTACGGACATGTTATTAGATTGGATAGAACTGTCTCGGGACCTGTCTTGGACATTACAACATGGTTAGTAGCATCCCTGGCCTTGAATCATTAAATGACAGCAGGATTACCACTCCAAGCCATGACGAAAAATGCCTCCAGGTACCACCAATTGCCCTCTTGGAGGTAAAATTGCTCCCCGCTGATACCACTGTTCTAAGTGGTAAGTGCCTGGTGGCACAATGGTTAAGGCTTGACTAACTGAAAATCCGAGAGCAGGAACCCATGCAGCCACTATGTGGGAGAAAAGACCTGGCCACCTGCAGGGACCCTAAAGACTCTCTGTAGCCAAGAAAAGAAAACCCCAAGTGGCAGTTCTACCCAGACACACATGGGACCTGAGCGGAGATCAACTCAGTGGTACCCAGCAGGAGACTAGAGCCATGACCAGCCTCTCCACTCCTGGCTACCGTTTCCTGAGCTGACCTTCAGCATTGGGCTCTACACCCAACTGCCAATCAGCTATTACTTCTCTGACTTCCTTACGAGACTAGCAATTCCACAAGAGCAGGGGTCTTGCCTCCACAGTACCCAGCACCAGGTCTGCTGATGGCTAGCAGGGCAGCAGATTCCCCTCCTCCGGAGGCCACCAATGCTAAATCCCCAACCTATTCAAGCTCCTCAGTTACATTTCTTCCTTCCCAACTTCAGCCATCACCGCCCTGCTCTTTTCTCTTGGCTTCAACCCTCAGAAAGCCTCCTTTACAGCCAGTCTGCCAAGGCTCTCAGCTCATCCAGACACCTCCTGCTGGGCACCTTGGCCCAGCCCAGGGTGTCTATTGCTCCAGTCCAGAGGGGACAGGGAAGCCTTCCCTCTTGTCAGAACTGGCAAGGAGAAAGCAATGGCAGAGACAAAGGCAGAGTGGTCTCCATGGCGGAGTGGCGAGCCCTGGTCTATGTTAGCTTTCCTTTTTTTTAAATTGAGGGGCAGTATACAAAGCAAAATGCACTACTGAGCTGTAGCTCAGAAGCACTGGCTAAGAAGCAATGTCAGCATACAGGTGTGTCTCTGGGGCTAAGCATCTCCCTGCTGCCCCATTCCTCCATCTGGCAGGGATCCAGCCTGGATGGTTTGGAACAAGCACTTCAAGGGGTATGGCCTTGGTAAGAACCAAAGATGGCATTAATACTCCCATTACTACACACAGTGAGTACCGGAAAAGAATGCCAACCTGTTGCTTATTTAAAATGTTTGTTACTCATGTCCAGTTATCAAGAAGCCCTTTAACTACTCTGCGTAACTATAGCTATTATTTTACTTTATCACACAATTCTGGTATAAATCTCTATTTTCCCCGATGCCCACCATATCCCAATCTTTGAACCTGGCCCAGCCAGCACTGCAGCTCCGCTGCGTGAATTATTTATTGGAGATGCTCACACAGAACCAAGTGTCTGAGGCTCGCAAAGCTCTCCTCACACCAGCTCAACACCCCAAGTCTTATGCGAAACGATCCTCTTTGCCTAACAGTCAGTTGGCAGCATCTGCTTGGCACCTACAATGTGCCTGGCTCTGAGCAGGGCTCAGGGCATTCAGCAAGGGAAACAGGACTTCCAACCTTTCCAGGATAAGCTATGTGGATTGGGAGGGCTGATTCCATAACCAGCATTCTTCCTGCTTTGAAAGCCACAGGGCTCTTTACTCAGGAATGCTAACATACCCAGCAGGGCTATTTTTTCTTTTTTTTAAACTTCCTCTTTTGCTCCAGGAGACTCCATCAGCCTGCAGAGCCTGCAGGATCCTAAGCTTGGTCCTCTACCTGTGTGCCGTGAACCCCACACTTACCCATCCACCCTCCGAGCAGATTCGCACTTTCTGCATATCCACGTGGCCATCCTCCAGTTTCCGGCTCTGAATCTCCTCTTCCTCCTCCTCCTCCTTTAAGGTCAAATTGAGGGGGTAGGCTGTGGACTCCATCTCTGTAAGGAAGATTCAGTTCAGAAACTTCAGGTGTCAGCACGAGCTCTGTAAAGCCCGTAAGGGAGGCTCACGATCCACAAACCTCCACCAACCGCAGCAGGCACGGATTTGGCAGAGCTGGGATGGACGCAGGGGTTAGTCAGGCCTGGGGAGGATGGGCTACCCGGGAAGCACCAGGAAGTTGGAAGGCAACCTATTTGATTATGATAAGTGGGGCTGTGGGTAGAGAAGAGATCAGACAACCTACAAATATTTAAAAAGCTATTTGTGGAAGAGAGGCCAGGCTGGTTTTGCAGGGACCAAAGGACAGAAGTGAGGCAGACAAGAGGCTTAAGCACGAAATTATAAGGCAGAACTTCCTTCCTCACAGTCAGTGCCATGGAATCAGCTGCAAGCTATGGGTGTTGACTTACTAGCACTGAAGGTGGCTGACAGAGAGGGCGCATTTCCCCAACTGGGTTGTTAACCAGGGGAAAGATAAGCAGGCTGGAGGGTGGCTGGCTCGGAAGACCCGCACTGGGCTTTGCGGACAACAGCAAATTCGAATGTCCGCTCTACAAGCCGGTTCCGATGGAAGCCTCTGCAAGCCAAGGAGTCCGTGACAGAGCCAACGCTTGAGCACTCCTGGGCCCCCCACCCTGGCCACGAAATGACTCGGTGCCTTCGGGCCACAAATGCTCCTGTCGGCTGGCTCGCAGACCAGTACAAAGGGCCGTGCTCCTGCCCTCTAGGGGCCCGGGTAATTCCTCGGTGCGGAGTGAGTGTGCATCTTGTAGGCTGCGTCCTCCAGAGGCTCCAAAGAAAAGATCTCCCCGGAGTTCTAAGTCAGCTCCTTCAGTATTTCCAAAAGACAAGCGCAAACGCGGCAGGGAGTGATCTGGGGCGGATGGGGCTGGCTTCGGACTCGCGGGAGCTGGGGCCCAAAACTTGGCCACCGCCTCCCAGGCAGGGGGTGGGAAGGAGCGACGCACCCCGGGCTTGTGGGTCCGCAGCCTGGGGCCTGCAGCGAGGGCCGCCGCCCGTTTACTCCCCGGAGCCCCGCCCGCGCAGCCGCCGCGCCCCCAGGCGCGCTTGGATCGCTCCAGCCATCTTGTCCCATTTCCCTTTCTCCGC